ATCAAGAACCAGAAGAAGATGACCTTTACAACTCCGGCGCCATCAATCTTCTTGCCAACCTCCACCTGAACTCTTCCACTGCCACCTCCGGCAACCACCAGCTCCATCCTAACACCATCACTGCAACTGCCAGAGGAACCCCAATTTCCTTCACCAGAAAACGCTCTGTCTGTGGCTCCATGAAGATAATTTCACAATCCTCTTCACTTTCTCGCAAAGAAGCCTTATGGGAAAGAGCCACCCTCCATCTCTCTTCCTCCGCAAGAGACGGCGCCGCCACTACTAAAATCCCACTACTTTCCACCAATTATTCAACCCCCCCACCACCACCTTCTTCAAACACATTGCAGTCTTTTCCTAGTAAAACCACACAAATCTCGAATCCTTCAAGTCAATTCTTGAATCCTCAATCAACAGAAAGTTCTCCCACAGAGGCCACACTGCCACCTCTCTGCTCGTCAGATTATCATATGGTGGTGGCCGCCACCGACATGCCTCCACGTCCTCGGCGAAGTCCTTATCAAGAAAGCCCCAATTCCAAGGTTTTTCTTGAATTCTTGCGAGTTAATCCTATGCCGTTTTATGAAACAAAAAAGAAAAAAATTTGATAACAAATTTTTTTTTGTTGATTGCTTAATTGCAGAGACTGAAGAGAATGAACGAACGGATGAAACAGATGAATCAGTGGTGCAACCAAGTCAGACATGAAGAAGAAAACAAGGTTTCACTTATTTTTATCACAATAATTATGGGAATTTCTTGATAATTTTATTCTAATTAATGATGTGATTCTTTGATTTTGCAGAATGAAAGTGAGAAAGAAGCAGAGAAAGCAGTATGGGTGGATGAGATAAATGGGGGAGATTTAATCATTCACTTCAAGTGTCCATGTGGTGGAGCCTATGAAATCCTTCTCTCTGGAAATAATTGTTTCTACAAACTATAAAAATTAGGAGACAAAGAAATGCTCGATAATACGATAATAGACAAGATTTTTATCATCTTTTTCTTTGTCAATATCGTAGAGTTTTGTACAGGTGATTCGATTTACTATTGATCTTTAAGAGCAGAATCTAGTTTTGTTTAGAATATTGAGATGACATATACTTGGGTCCGTTCATGAATATCCTATAAAGTGCCTGTTTGACACCCGTTTTTTTTGGAAAAAACTCATTTTACT